TGCGCGCGAGAGCATATTTAGAGAGAGAAACCGGCAGTAGATGCCCAGGCCGTGTGTTGAGTAACTTCACCGCCACAGGGCCCACGTGAAGGTGCTGGTTAATCTGTCAGAGCTCCCCCTCAGGTATTATTTTACAGACTTGAGTTTAGAAATCAGAAATCGGAGGTGACGTCTGAGCAGATCACCGGCGGTGCTTCGGGGTGGGGATCGGGAGGGGCGCCCGAGGGGCTTCGCCGGCCTGGCCCTGCTTCCCGCGGGAGGCCCCGGAGGAGGCCGCCCGTGTGGCCCGCAGTGATGCAGGCCGCCGCGGGCCGGAGAGCAGCACGTCACCGTTGTTGCCAGAGGCACCCCGGCTGTCGGCAGGACGGGCCAGCCCGTGGCAACTTCTCCCTTTGTGTCTCCGTGCAGAGCGACCCCGAGTTTGTGCAGTGGAAGAAGGAGCTGACCGAGACGTTTATGGAGGCCCAGCGGCTGTTGAGACGCGCCCCCAAGTTCCTCAACAAGTCCCGCTCCAGCGTGGTTGAGCTGTCCAAGCCTCCCCTCTGTCACAGGAACAGCAATGGCCTCTGACACCCAGGGCAGGAGGGTCCTGGGGAGACAGGGCCGCAAGGAAGCCCGTGCCGAGGGTTTTCAGCCCTTGAGATGGAGCCTTTTGGAGAAGGCCGGGGGTCGGAGGTTCGGTCCCCGTGTCCCTAGGGCCCCTCCATGGCCGGGAGGACCCAGGACGCTGAAGTGCTCCCAGTAAGAGTGCTGACCGCTGTCGGCATGGGGCCGGCCAACCCCCCCCTACACACCCCCCTCCCCCCGAGTGCCTCCCTCTGCATCACATCTGTCCACGCTCGAAACTACTGAAGAAACAAGCGAAAGTTCTTTTCCTTCGTCACGTCCCGGTTTGGGTATCTATGAACTTAGAACTTGGAATGATTCCTGCCCATCCCTTCGATCTGTACATCTGACCGTCAGACACATCTTGCGCTTGCCAGGACGGAGCGCAGCCCTCTGCTGCATCGGGCACGGATGGCCCAGGCACTGCCTCGTTCCACGTGCCAGTTTCCCCGGTGCCTGGTCCACGCGGCCGAAGGGCAGGACGTGGGCACACCCACCTCTCGTTGCCCGGGGCTGAAAGCCGAAGATACTGGTCGAGAAGGCTGCACTTGGGCCCCCACCGTGTGTGCGGAACCACGGGTACCAGCCTGCCTCCGACAGGGAACAGAGGGAGTGTGCCCTCAGAGGACGTGGCCGTCGCTCGTCACTGAGGGCGTTCCACAGCGGATCGTGGGAAGGCCTGGCGGGCTGTGAAGGCGAGGCCGTGGGGTTTTGGCTTCCGGGGCAACAGCGGTTTCTCAGACATCTTCAAATAAACACATAGCACTTTCACATGTCTGGGTGCACACGGCTGCTGGGGGGCGAGTCTGTCGAGGGTTCCGACAGTAAGCGGTTCCAGGACCCGCTCGTTCTGGTTCCTTCTGCCTGCCCTCAGGACACGTATCCATAATGGGTGTGTACAGGAAGGGAAGAATCGCTCCGTTTCACGTCGTAGCATAACTTACAGTGAATTTCATTGACTAAAGGATGCTGAAGAATGAATGTGTCCAGATGGGCTAACCGCATCTGTTGACTTTCCTGTTGACCTTGGCCTGTCGTTAGTGAGTAGTACTTGCCCCCCCGGGTGGGTCGCCCCGCGCCCGACACAGCAGGGGAGCGGAAAGGCCCTTCCCCTGATCCCGGAGGCATCTTGTCATCTCCCCCCACCCCCGGCTTGCTCTCCCGCCACGCGCCCTGCGCCCTTTTCACGCCCCAAATAAATGCTGGGCTGTAAGAAGCGGTGATTTTCCCAGTGCAGTCCTCTCTCTCATCAGACTAAAAATAATAACAATAATTTTTTTAAAGTCCACATTTCTGTCTTCCTAGTACAGTCTCGTTGTATGTTTCTAAGTTTACTAACAATACCAACAACCGATCACCGATCACAGCTGTCTGCATCCTGCCCTCGATATTTTCAGTGGGTCCAAATCTCTGGGTCCTGTGCTCATTGGGAAAGTCAGTACTTTTTAATGCAATTCTGTTTGGAGAGTTTGGAAGATAATTACAGAACGTGTTTCATTTCATAGGAGTTGCTTCGGAAAAGAAATCTGGAGGTTCCTTACCCATCTCAGCTACCAGTTGGGGTCTACATGAGCGTATCCGTTCTACTCTGCTCTTGCCAGTAGAGGGGGAGGGGTGCCCTAGTTACATGCCTTCCCCTGGCATGTTTAAAAGGGAAGACTGACGTTCACATTCTGTTTTCAAAACAAAAACCCAAAAAACCGCTAGCAACAGAAAAGTAGTTGTTCCTCGCAAAGGGTGAGCGCCTTCCCGACTGTGGTTAATGACAGCTGTCCCTGCTGTCACCAGCCCCGTTGCAGGCTCCCATGCGCTCAGCACGTACAGTTTGCTGCGCCCCGAGTCCCCGCTCGACAGTCAAGGCCCTCGGGCACAGACTCCTCGAGGGGCTGGGCTTAGCGTCTCCCCTTTCAGACCCGAGTGCGTCAGCCACGCCAGTGTGCGGCTGTTTGAAAGATACCTTTTTCGCTCCAGCGTAGAACAGAAGGTTCATCTGCCTTTTAGAAGGAAAACGTGAATTGGGAAATCGCCTGAGAGCCCTTTTGCCTCAACCTTAATTCCCAGTGCTGGGGTCTTGTCTGGCCTGTCTCCTACCTGCACTTGCCCCCACAGGCGTCCTGACGGGGCCAGTTTCTCCGCTGCCAGACAGAAGACACCTCCGGGACCCTTCTGTGCCAGCGCCTTGTGCCTGCATGGCCTTGAGTGGCCAAAGAAAGCCACTGGTTTATTTCATTATTATTTTTTTTTAATGTTTGTTTATTTTTGCGCACGAAAGAGACGGCACAAGCAGGGGAGGGGCAGAGAGAGGAGACAGAGAATCGGAAGCAGGCTCCAGGCTCCGAGCTGTCAGCACAGAGCCCAACGCAGGGCTCGAACTCACGAACCGCGAGATCGTGACCTGAGCCGAAGTCAGATGCCCAACCGACTGAGCCACCCAGGCGCCCCAAGCTGCTGGTTTAGAAGTCTTGGCATACTTGGCTGTTTCCGAAGGTTTTAAGAGTGTCACATCATTCCTAGACGTTTGACCCTTCCTACGTTTGGACCATTCAAAAGGACAAAATTCACACATTTTCTCATTATCCAAGGAAGATAAAGTTGGTAATATTTTTATAAAGTTACAATGTCTTGATTTCATAAAACAAGGGAATGAAAAGGGCAAAGTCTAAAAACAAAGATGATCTTACCTCTAGCTGCTATACAACATGTATGGAATCCATGAAAAACTTGAGTGAGTCCAAGGTTATTTTTTTAAGCCAAAATACTCTCACTGGTGCAATCGCTCCTTCATGGCCTTGGGGGGTCGTGGTTTTTCCTTCTGTCTCATGTGGAAGTAGGAGTTTTCAGCAAAACTTACAGCAATTCGCTGGTTCCGTGCTAATGGAAATGATTGGCCAGTTCACTGACATTACGATTTCAGGATCCGTGGGGAAGAAGGGCCAGCCGTGGAGGACAGCAGCCTTCCAGCTCCAGAAAGACCACAGCGACAACACGCAACCATCTGTTTGAAGCAAGACTGAGCTCGATTGTGATTTGAAATGCGCCACACGGATATCAGAAACCATCGTTTTAAGGGCCCTCACTGGCCATTAAAAAATAGCCTTTACCAATTGACAGCTTTAACTACACGAGAAAAGATCGGAGAGTGGTTTTTCTCTGATGATTTAAAAAATTTCATTTGGCATTTGTAGTTGCACCAATTCAATCACAGCATTTGCCTTTTCGACGGAATCGGCTTCATGTCAGGAAGAAAACCAGGTTCTCAAAGTTGGACCTCTTTCACGCGATGTAAATCTAGAAAACATACTTTCAAATGCGCTGGCGTTAAGATAAGACTTATCTTGTAAGACTTCATCACACGTGGTTTTTTTCTCAGTCGTGTTCAGGGAAGTGTTTCTGGGTCATCCAGAGACGCCTGATGAATGACCTCCTCTCCACCCCTAAGGACTGACACGTTTGTGCCCCGAGAGGAGGTGGGGCTTCACTGGAGTCTGGCAGGTGGTGGCTGGGGGGGCTGTGGGCTGGAGGGGTGAGTGGATTGGGCGCCGCCCCCCCAGACAAGGGCAGTGGTAGGAATGGGGCAAAGGAAGGAAGACGTTACCTTGCAGGTCAAAACTCAACAACCTTTACACCAAGCACCATGCAAACGCCCGAGTTAAAGCTGGCTGATTCTTTCCCTCCTTGAAATAGGAGTTGAATGGTAATTATGGTGAGACGCGGCCACTTTATTTTCAGTTATGGAGGCTCTGAACTTATAAATAGGCCATTGGCTTTCCATCAGGACTCTGCACAGCACCCAGAGCTAACACCCTATTTGGCCATGCCTTGCTGCTCCCCAGAGGGCCAGACGCAGGGTCTGGGTGGCTGTCCCCAGGGCCATGTGGCCAGCTGCAGACATTGTCGCACACCCATTGAAGCCACAGGAAGCCTCCCAGAATAATAGCACCGGACTTGCTGTTTAAGCCATGCTCACTCCTGGAGGAGCTTGGATACTGGGTGCCTGGCTGGCTCCGTCGGCAGAGCACGCGACTCTTGATCTCGGGGGTTGCAAGTTCGAGCCCCACGTTGGGTTAGAGATTACTTAATAACGATCCATAGAGTGAGCTTTTAATAGTTTGAATTTGAAAACGTTTTTTCCGAAAGATCTAACCTGATTTTCCCTCCCGCGAAAAGTTGCCCCGAGAGATTTGAATTAATTACTTGAATTCATACGAATATGAATTTTTTCTTTTTACCCAGGCTACATTCAAATAAGTTTTTTCCTGTCGAATTAATGAAAGTTGAACTCTAAAATAATACGATTTCCTCAGGTCGTAATGGACTTTGGATTTCTTTCACTCTCAAAAACTAATAGACCTGCTGTTTTACAGCTGAGGGACAGGGATGCCCCCCCAACCCTGGAAGTGCCCAATGCCCAGACACTCACTGACGTGGCCGGGGAGCACTGACCAATAAATGCGGCACCCCAAATGTTAAATCACCTTTATTTAAACACACACACACACACACACACACACACACACACACACACACACACCAGAAAATGGATTAACAGTATATGCATTTCATCAAAAACCTACAGGAATAAAAACTGCCTTTTAAGGTTTCAATAACTCAGCATTCTTAGAGGAAACTCTCTTATACCACCATCTCAAAATCATCTCTGAATACTGTTAACTCTGCTCCCATATTTTATTTTGTCCTACTATAAAAGGTCTTTCATGTAAGGGTAGGGAATGGAGAAATATTTCTAACCGTGCACTTGTAATTACAAAGGACTTGAAACTTAATTTCTTGTGTCTCAGTTGATTAACATTCCATGCTGTATATATTATATGTGGTTTGTAAGCTAAACACTGGCCATTTTTTAAGTTCTGTTGTTAAATTGTATTTTTCTATGTTTTAAATGATTATGATAGATTTGGCTTTTTCTGGGTAACATAAAGATTGCTAAACTGCATATACAAATA